TCATAGCTCGTACATTTGCTTTTTACACTATATGTAAGCATTGAGCAAATGTAATAATGTCAACATATTAAACAAACAACATTTGTCTTTTATGTATAATACATCTGTATATACACTGTCAAAGATACTCGTCTTTGAGTGAAGATTTAAGGTGATAGGAAATATAAATAAATGCAACTTGAATCTTTGACCCAGAGTTCAAGCTCACTGCTGTAATATATCCTGTAATAGATAGATAACATAATAATCTGACAATACTATAATATTGGCCATATTATATTTACATTACCACAGTGAGATGACTTTAGTCTCATGAACAACATTAGCTAATTGTTATTTACTAGCTAACACATACAAGATGGCGTGGCCACGTCCAGGCGCCTTCCTGACCGCTCCGCTCCGACTATCTACTTTTCTTATTTTTACCTATTTTTGCTCTGGTTTTCATCCCAAATCTCTATAGTCTTATAGTATACGACAGCGGATCACTTGTAAACATCGGTGCCAAGGTTGCACATCTAACCTTGGACACTTTTAAACCTGACCCTTCCTGGCCGACAGAGAACAACAAAGGACGGGCCGCTCATCGAGGCACAGAACAAAGAAGCGCCGGGGGAAACGCGCTGGTATTAGGAACAGACTGAGACAGCAGGCGCATCGCGCACCACTGCCCAGTATCCTACTGGCCAATGTACAATCCATGGAGAACAAGCTCGATGACCTAAGAGCAAGGGTCACCTTCCAACGTGACATGAGGGACTGCAACATTCTGTGCTTCACGGAGACATGGCTGACCCCCACCGTGCCGGACCAGGCCGTAACTCCGTCGGATTCATTCTTTGTGCTCCGCGCGGACAGAACGGCAGAGTCGAACAAAACCAAAGGTGGGGAGTGTGTTTCATGGTAAACAGAAAGTGGTGTGATGCCAGGAGCATTTCTACTCTCTCCAGCGGCTGCTCGCCACATCTGGAGTTCCTGAGCATTAAGTGCCGCCCTTTCTATCTGCCCGTGAGTTCATCTCAGTCATGCCACGGTGGTCTACATCCCACCCAAGCGGACACAGGTATGGCTTTGTCCGAATTACATGATGTGCTGAGCTCGCTTCAAAACAAGGACCCGGGCGCAGCCCTCATTATAGCAGGAGACTTTAACAAAGCGAACCTCAGACAAGTCATGCCAAACTTTTACCAGCATGTCTCGTGTCCAACGAGGGAGGATCGAATTTTGGATCACTGCTACACGCCATACAAGCAGGGCTACAAAGCTGTCTCACACCCGGCTTTTGGGAAGTCTGACCACAACGCCATCTTCCTCATCCCCCAGTATAAACAAAGCATACGGAGGGAAGAAGTAACCACGAGGGAGGTAAAACGGTGGACTGCCCAATCAGAAGCTACGCTACAGGACGCACTCAACGACGTCGACTGGGACATGTTCAGAGCATGCGCAGTCGACATCAACGAGTTTACGGAAGTAGCAGTATGCTTCGTCATATGCTAGCGGAGGAGATTATCCCCACTGCGAGAGTCACCACATTCCCAAACCAGAAACCGTGGATGGACAGATCGATCCGCACTGCAGTAAACGCCAGGACACCTCCTACAACGCGGGTCTCGCCACTGGCGATATGAGCGCCTATAAAGCAGCCTCATACGGCGTGCGGCGCGCGGTGAGAGATGCCAAACACCGGTACCGGGAACGTGTGGAGTCTCGCTTCCACCAGGGCGACACAACTTAGGGTTGTTCCAGCTCCCTCTGAACAGCTGTAGCTTAGACACAAAAACATAGAAAAATGGCGTCCAGTTTAATGAAGTAAACACAATATTAGGAACATGCACCCCAGTGGGCCACTATTTTAGACTACAGATTCAACAATAAATATACATAGTTTGGGTATACAAGAAGATTTCCCAAAACATTTAAACAGGTTCCATGCAAATTACAACAACAACAACAACGTTACAACATGCAACAACATTAGTATTTAGTATTTTAGTATTTATTTATTTATTGTCATTGTCAAGAACAATGAAATTGCGTTTGGGGCTTCCATACAACCCCAAAAAAAGAAGAAAATAATAAATACCCCTTAAACCCAAGTGTACATATTTAACCCAGTGTGACTCCAATGCAATAAGACAATCCTTAGCAATAATGTTCGTAGAAATTCAGACAAAGACCTGAGAAACATGACAAAATACAACAATGCAACCCATTCAATATTATTGTACTGTGAGATATGATATCAGATATGATAGTTATCTATTTAAGAAAGAGGGGGGGGGCAGGAGGGGGAAGAGAATAAAGATATGATGCACCAATGCAGACCAGTTCATTGCTATTACAGTTTTTTCTGAATGCTTAAACCCTAACTGTGATTCCTGTAGCACAATCTCTAAAACTATTCAGACTTATAGCAAAACCACTCACTGAGTTTGCAAAACTAAAAGCACAAAAACTGCTTTGCACTCAGTTTGCAATTTTGTAACACACACTTTGCAAAACTGTAGGCACAATTCACTGCACAACACTCAATTACCAAATTTCCAACACACTCCTAGCAAAAGTATACACATGTATGGCTATCATTAACACTAATCTGCCAACTGTCTGGCACACTGTCACATGTGAAAACTTTTTTAGATAATTAGTTCACTTTGCAATCAGCCTAAGCACTATAATACAGGTAAGCTGTGTGTGCGGAGTACAATGGAGGCAGCAGAAAGAGTGAGAAGTAGAGGAGGCCGAGGAAGAGGACGTGGAGGTGAAGAAATAGGATGAAGAGGACGACAAGGAGGAGCAAGAGGAAGACGAGGAGGGGGGAGAGGAAGATGAGGAGGGGGAAGAGGAAGGGTAGGAAGAGTAAGAAATAGAATTGCTGATGACATCAGAGCTACAATAGTGGACCATGTAATCAACCGTGGAATGACCCTGAGGGTAGCTGGCCAACGGGTCCAGCCTAACTCGAGCCGCTACACTGTAGCAAGCACCATAAGGACATCTTGAAATGAGAATCGGTTAGCACAGTCACTTCGCACAAAGATTTGTAGCACTGCCGTATGCCAATGAGAAACACACCAATACCATTGATGTAAAAATACTGAAATTGTTACTTTACAGAATTGCTAGATGACCAGATGCTGGGGCAGAGGAAGCATGTTCACTGCAGACCAAGTAACCCATATAGTCATTATGGCGATTGCAAATAATCTATACTTGGAAATAAACACTTGTGTTTGTTTTGATGTGTTTGAATAAACACCAGTACTTGAAGTTTGGATCCCTCTATGCTTATGGATCTATGACAGAAGTATGAGCTCAACTGACATAGCCTACCTTGTGCACAGAGGAAGCAAAGGCCAGATGTGTTTTGTATTCATACCATCAGTGTGCAGTTGGCGCATTGTGTGCTTAGTAGATGATGGCTTGTGTGTACTGTTTGATACGGAAACACCATTTTTACGAAGGTGTGAGGAGTTAATCTAGCTGTGTTTGCTTTTGCAAGAGAACTACAATGTTTTGATGATTGGGTGACAGGTTTTCTTATTTGTGTGAAGAGTTTTGCAAAATTAGCCATAGTTACAAAAAATGTGCTTAAGCAATCAGAAAAAAACTGTAAGAAGTTGGATATGGTTATTGTCCGTGAGAGGGGGGCAGAGAGTTCAGGAGCCTCACAGCCTGTGGATACAGGCTGTTGGCCAGTCTGGATGTTCTGGCCTGTATAGACCTGTACCTTCTCCCTGAGGGCAGCAGATGGAAAAGGTGGCGCGCAGGGTGATGTTGGTCCCGCAGGATACTGTGCACCCTCCTCAGACAGTGAGTGGGGAAGATATTACTGATCTCTGGCAGACTTGTTCCAATAATTCTGCCAGCTTCTTTCACCACCCGCTGGAGTGCTTGCTGATCGGCCTTGGTGCAGCTGGGGAACCACACTAGAAATCCATACGTCAGAACGCTGCTGATGGCACAGTTGTAGAAGTTCAACATCAGAGATCTGGGAATGTGTGCGCTCCGCAGTCTCCTCAGGTAGTAGAGGCGCTGTTGGGCCTTCCGTACAACTGAGGTGATATGGTTGCCCCAGGACAGGTCCTCGGTCACAGTTACCCCCAAGAATTTAAAACTGCTCACCCTCTCCACCGCCTCACTGCCAATGAAGAGAGGCAGATGGTTGTTATGGCCCCTCTTCCGGAAATCTACAATGATCTCCTTGGTCTTTTTGGTGTTTAAGACCAAGTTATTGTCGTGGCACCATGACTCTAGTTGTTGCACCTCTGTCCTATAGTTTGTCTCATCATTGTTGGATATAAGTCCGAGCACTGTAGTGTCATCTGCAAACTTAACAATGAGATTGGACGCACAGGAGGAAATACAGTCATGGGTGAAGAGAGTGTATAGCAGAGGGCTCAGGACACACCCCTGAGGGGCACCAGTGTTGACCACAAGGGTGGAAGAGGTGTTCTTACCCACTCTGACACTCTGTCTACGGTTAGTGAGGAAGTCCACAATCCAGTTGCACAGAGAGGAGTTAAGTCCCAGTTGGTGGAGTTTGGGACGGAGTTTGTATGGCCGGATGGTATTAAAAGCCGAGCTGTAGTCTACAAAGAGGAGCCGTGCATAGGTGTTCCTGTGTTCCAAGTGCTTCAGTAATGTGTGCAGCACTGTGGCGATCGCATCCTCGGTTGACCGGTTCTCCCTGTATGCAAACTGTATTAGTTTTATTCAAAATTTGGTTTAATACAGATAAAAAACTAAACTAAAATTACCAACCAATTATTCTTTGAAGAGGATGCTTGGGTCTTCATTCAGGTAAAAAGGTAGTGCCCTGAGGACACACTCCCTCCCCTTTTCAATGTTTCCTTCTGTAGAGAGTGGCAGAGATACAGGAAGAGAAAACAGATATACTTTAGGATGACAGAAACTCACATTATACGCAAAATGAATGACATATCCACTGCACAGATAGACATGTACACAAGACCAACTGATCATCACATGGACATGAATAGTTAACCTGTTGGGCAGGGTTTCCACCACATTATATATGTCCATAATGGAGGTAAAGACAAACTAATACATCATCTTTTTTGCATTCAAAACATAACATAAAAACATTCACTTCTGGTTTAACCTAAATCAAGGGATCAGATTTTACATATGTTTAGGTAATTTAAATTTTCCAACGTTTTGAGTACCAAACTTTGTCTTGCTTAATATAAATGTAAGTGCACTGTGCAGCTACCATACACTAGCTGTTTAAATTTGAAAATGATCTTATTAGCCATAATATTTTGCTACCAACAGAATAACGCACCTGTGTGGCTGGGGCCAAAGTTTGTCTAATTTTCTTCCCTGCAACGCCTCCTTTTTTCTTGAAGACTTTTATGAGCTGGTCATTGGTGTATTGGTCAAGTTGTGTAAAAAGCCTTGGAACATGTGCAGCAGTAGTAATCCTCACATATTCTGCTTCCACCTGAAAACATGTCAACAAACACAACATACTGTACTGTAAATATACATACTATATGTACACATATACAAAACTAAAACTAATGTAGTAAGACCTCATTAAAGCTATAATTTTAACACAAACATTTACACAAAATGCTAATGGAGCCATTACAGCTTTTATTGTTATTTATCAAGTTCCAAAAAATATTGATCACAGCTGATCTGAAAAGAATTTCATGCCTCAGGCCCTTGAACTGCAACCTTTACCATGGTTCAGATGTGGAGAAGAAATAACAGGGGCATGGGATGGGTCACAAAAGAAAACTTAACTTATAAAACAGTTTTGTTTTTAAAAGTATAACAGTTCACATACCACATACAAGCTCAGCAATACCACATACACCACATCAGTATAGGAGGGAGCAGGTAAAGGCAGGATCTGAGATTTATAAAGAAAACAAGAAATTCATTACTTAATTTCAAGAAGCAAATTATTGTTTGAATTACAACTAAATAAAATACTACTCAGAAGAAAAGCAAGAGATTGACACGGCCATGTGCTAACTTTCTATAGAAGCAATTATCACCAGGTCTGTCGACCTCCATTGTCTGTCCACTCATATGTCTTGAATAATTTTATTAAAAAAATTAAGTGTGTACTTTCACAAACTGTAATTTATAACTACATTGATATGTATAACTCCGCTAGGAAACATGCTGTATTTACAGACCATTTTTACATAATACAGATTACTGATAGAGCAGAACAATGGTGTCACAGTGGCTTTCGCCCTTGACTTTTTTGGATTTTAAATGTCACTTTATGCTATCCTTGCTATCCTATTCGATATTTCCGACTCTCGGATTACAGAAAAGGAATCCAAGAAAGCAAATGGAAAAATAACCCCTTGAAAGAATAACCCCATGAACCCCTGTAGCTAATCCCTTAATAAAACAAAAAACAATAAAATGTTTCTTACACAGTCCACAAAATAAGCATGTCCAGGACCCAGTAAAACTAATGTAAAACAAGCACACGCAAACGATATAACATGTCTTGTAAGACAAACGCAAAATATAACCATGCTGGACATATAGATACTACACAACATAGTCAAAGAAAAAAAGTGGTCTTACCTCTCAAAGAAACAGCAGCTTGGCGCCAAAACAACGTTTTCAAGTTAAATTTGAAGTCTTGCGCATGAGCAGGCACAAGCCATGAAACCTTGTTGTTCTTCGCGGTTTTATTACAACTGTTTTTGCATTACTGCCACCTTGTGGATATACAAAGTATATCGATCCTAATTGACTTAAATGTTATGCCATCAAGTAACACATTAGTATTATGTACGTTGAATAATAGACACAATTACGTAGACTTGATTAGAAAAACATATGTTAACTTAACAAAACATATTTTAAGTAAATGAAAATAATAATTAATATACACTGAACAATCCACCTCATTCGTTTTTTTGAGTGAGACACATTTATAAGGAACCTATAAATATTTCTAATGTTTCTAATCATCTTTCAAACTTTGTTTCATGAGTTTGTCATCAAAGCAGCTGTGCCGCCGGATCATCAAAGCCCGGCTTTGTGTTCAAGCTGAAGAGGTCAGCTGGGCATCAGCCTTCTCTGTGAACTTCCTGCTCCAAGATCTGAGCACGCTCACATCAAGGGGATCGACTGAGCTCCGCCTCCCCAGTCACAGCCGTTATCAGAGGAACGTGTGTGTGATGGCTGCACTCACAGCCACACAGGGGTAATATCAGCATATTAGTGCTGAGGCTTATACATAACGTTGCATTCACATCTGTCTTTCTTTAAATATAGGAATTAATTTACAGGACAATGAAGAACTGGTTTTGGTTTAGAGTTAATTCACGTATCCACATAACACTGCATTCTAAAATAAGTGCGCACATTTCAGTTTACACTGTTATGTATGATAATCTTTGTTTTCTGAGTTACCTTAGTTGCAGCTGCTCCAGTCCCTTGATTGAGGAGCCAAGACGTGGAAAAGGGGCGGAGCAAGCCTTGATGGAAAACTGCAGATTGGCTCATTCCATAACTCGGGACCATGGGGGGGATCGGAGTTCATGATGTTAGTTTCAGTTGGGTTTTGTGTGTTTTACCCCTTTTTGTGGGCTGATTAGCTGATTATTATTTATGGGCCCAACATTTTGAATCTTTTTGCAGGATTGAACTATGATGTTTTGGGGTTTAATAAAAAATCTCGTTTTTGGACTTTCACCTGTGGCTAAGTTTCCTTCACTGCTCGGTCCATCACAATGTCACACAGATAAAATAAGGCTGTGATCATCACAGCGCTCTGTAACCTGTGCTTAGTTACCATGGTGACTTAGCAGGTAACCTCACACCTCTGGTCAGGCCAGCTTCATCTATCATCGGTCAGGGTCAGAGGTCACAGGGAGTTATCGACTCCATTGGTCAATCCAGGATTTATTAATGTAGCTACAAGTGAGTCGGCAGGAGGGCTGCAGGCAGCATCGGACCAATCAGGAACACGGACAGGATGACATCAGATCAGGATGAAGCAGGCAGCACAGCCGAGAGCTCGTCACAGCCTGGTCCACCTCATCGTGAGACCAGCTCCGCTTTCCACCGCAGCCCTGAGAGCGAGCACGCGTCCGCCCAGGATCGTGTCCTACTATTACAGGTAATACCACATGGAACCACACATATACTTTAAAATCCTGCTGCAGCCAACAGGAACACGGCTGGAGTAAAGTTCCTCTGAACTGACCATCAAACACAAGCGCTCTGGCTGTCTGACCTCTGAGGCTTCAGGGAATTATATCATTTTCCAGAGATCTGATTGGTTAGTTGGAGGTGATCTTTAATGCCATTTTTGGATTACATGTGACAGTAAACACAGTCCTAACAAACCTCAGCTGTCCTGTGGACTCTGAAGATGTTTGACCTTTCCTCTGACAGGGTGGTGACATACCTGGGGCCAGGTGGGACCCGGGTAACGTGGGACCACCAGCGTTTAGAACTGAAGAAGCCTTTCAGAGGACGGGTTAAATATCTTCAAGAACCTACCTCAGGTAGTCTCACCATGACCCAGGTGACCGAGGACCTCCACGGGTGGGTGACTGAGCTCAGTCCTAAACTTAGAAACTAATGACACTTTTATACCCGATGTCGGTGGTTCTGGATCAGGAAACAGTCAGTCATTGAGCATTAAAGAGGCGGACACAAATCGAGGACAGAAACCAGATTTATTCTCACATCAGACAGAAACAGGATCCACCTGATCAGGACCAAACACTCATCCTGAAACCAGGTTTCACTGGGCTGGACTCGAGCCCAGAAAGATGCCAGAGAAACAAAACCATGGCAGGGTGCTACAGTGGGGGGAGGAGCTTCAGCAGCAGAATCAGGGGCGACTTCGTTTACGGTCCAAAGTTCCCAATACAGTCCAGGAAGATTAAGTTCAAAATCCCAAGATACCAAGATTACCAGGCTTAGCCGCTGGGAGTGGCCAAAGTCCAGAGTGTTTTAAGTACATGATGGTGAGAATTAAAGCAGCAAATCCTGGTGAAAGCGCCAGAGTTTGTCAAGAGAGGAGTCCTGGACAGTTAGGACTCCGAGACGGGGTCCTGGACTGGTTCTACGGGGTCTTGGACTGGTTCTACGGGGTTCTGGGCTGGTTCTGCTGAGTCTGGTTCTTCCTCCTTCTGGACTAGTTGTAAAGACTGCTGGAGTTCTCCAGGTTCCTTGACCGGTTCTCGGACAGGTTCTGCGGAGTCCTCGACCGGCCCTCTCACTTTCTGAAGTGGTTCTAGCAGTTCTGGACTCAGATTTCGGGTTTCAGCAATGAGTCGTTTGACACCAACCATCCATTGGCTAACCTCAGTCACATGGTCAACCATAAGAGAGCGATGGATGTCATCAGCCGCGTCCCAGCGACCCTTCTGTAACTCTGAGAGACAAACAGATGAGTGATCACACAGGTGTGCGATCACACAGGTGTGCAGTGAGACACCTTACCTGCAGACAGGGTGTCCATGCGCCTCCTGACAGGCAGGCTCAGTCTACCCGACCTCCAGCTGTCCTCCATCAGGTGAAGGCGCTTTGCCACTTCATTACACACCTGAGCCTGCACACAGGTCAAAGGTCGCTCTGAGTTAAACACATTTTTGTGTTAACAGAAAAGGAAATGACTCGTTGGCCTCTCGGTGGCCCAACCTGGTACTGCAGGTGAGACTGTGACGCTCAGAGGTGATTTGAAACATCTGGTTATTTCTCTGATGAAGATAATGGCTGTGTCCCAACTCAGCGTCTGCAGCCTTAAAGGCCGCATTTTAAGGACGATTACGTCACAGCGACGAAGGCTGTCCCAATTCAAAGGCTGCTCGAAATGCAGCCTCAAACACGTCCTTCATTTCCCTGAATTTCAAGGATGTGGCGGTGTAGACAGAACAATATTTGTCTCTTATATATAAAACATCTGTATATACACTGTCACAGGTACTTGTCTTTGAGTGAAGATTTAAGGTGACAGGACAAATAAATAAATGCAACTTGAATCTTTGACCCAGAGTTCAAGCTCACTGCTGTAATAACTAATAATGATTAATATAATAACTATAATATTGGCCATATTATATTTACATTACCACAGTGAGATGACTTTAGTCTCATGAACAACAGCAGCTAATTGTTAATTACTAGCTAATCTTAAACGACTGTTCAGCACAGGAATCATGTTTGACAGTCGTGTGGTCTCAGCCTCATTAAACCACACAGAGCTCGTGTAGAAACAAACGAACAAAACACGTTCTCCTTCATCTCTGTCAAACAAAGCTGTGTGAAACGTTTCCAGTTAGTATCATGGTTGCTAGGCAACCTGGGCAGCGCGACGGAGGCTAGACCGTCCTGTTTCACAAGCCTCGCACTTCCGGCCTTAGCGGTCTTTGAGTGGGTGGCCCTTGAGGACCGTTAAGGCTGCAGACCCTGAATTGGGACACAGCCAAAGTTTCAGCTCAGGGTCAAAGGTCACTTTGTGCTACAGTAACATTCACTGCAACGTGGTGGCGCCCCCTGCTGATGTAATATATAGAGATTGACAGACCACGTGACTTTCGCGCATTGCATGACGGGTACTCGTGGCAAAACAATCCAAGTACCGCATCAAACGCAAGCATTTGCAGCACCGCAAAACGTTCATTCTCCTGTTCCAAAACCTTCTTGCGTTTTCTTTTCCCCCCAAAAAGGAATGTACAAAACGAAGGAGAACAATGCCGGTCCGTACAAAGACTGACTTGATGAAAAGTCAAAGAAAAGATACGAGGAATAAAATCAAAGGAGTGAAAGTGTCAGACCCTTACGAGCACACAGAGTGGACAAAAGACGTTAGCGTGCTGCCCAACTTTCACCACGCTCATATTTATAATCATACGGTTCTTGGAGTGAGTGCATACACTCATGAAGTTTAGTAACTTCAGGTCACTGCAACAAGCCCAGGTACAGTTTACCGACGGATGGGTGCAGGACCTTGAAATGCACCGTGTAGAACGAAAGACCATCGTACGTATCATAAGTTTACCAGTCTCACAAATCGTGGTCATAAACACACATTCGTTAACAGTTTATTAATATAACCTTTGAGCTCAACGGTAATTAATTAGTAGTGGAAATAATTTCTGGTTCGCATTACAGAAATGTAGCAGTGACAATAATATTGTATGTTGTAATCGTACTGGACAATTAGTGATACAAAACAACTGTTTTATCCTGTGAATAAAAGTATATGTTTTTGTCAATGTACCATAATAACAGAAGCGAAACGCAATATAGTGTCAGGACAATTCACTATTTATGCACAATAAATAAAGGAGCATAGCGCCACAATTTCTGTTCAGCGCCAGACTTGCTTGTAACCTATATCACCAATTATGTTATGAAAATGACGCATTAACTACCAGTGATTCCTGAGATTAGGGACAAAACAGGTTTTAATTTTCTAAAATATATTTTTTGATTTTTCAAAAACATATTTACATATAATTGTTTGAAGACAAAATCATAGTTTTGTTGTATAAACATTGCCTTGGTTTGTCTTTTATCTGCCCGACATGTTTTGTCCCTTCTCTCAAGAATCACTGCTACAACAGCAGACTGAGCTGTGTGTAAATGCT